ACTTTTTAAATGGACCATTTTCTTATTGTTGATCTTCAGTACATATATTTAATTAATCACAGTATACATATTTAATTCATCATGGTGTATATATATATATATATATGGTATACATATATACAGTATGTATTCTGTGATTACAACCATATATACTGTATTACATAGAACAGACTGCTTTATATATTTATTGTAACAGTTTATATAACTGACTTCTGTCATAATTTTTTCCCTGCAGATAATGTGTCCTAGGCTGTGCTTGCAATTTCATTCTTTTGACAGTGTGTTTTTGCAAATCCAAATTTTATCTTTTAATTGAGTCCAGATTATTCTCTTTTTTCATTTCTGGATTGTGTCTCTGATATCATATTCAAAAAATTATTGCCTCTTGTCTTATTACCATCCTCTGGAGTTTTATCTAATTTTGTGTTTTACCTTTAGGTCTGTGATATACCTGAGGTCAAGTTTTGTAGCAGGTGTAAGGCCTGTGTCTGCATGTGCAGCCGCTGCAGTGTCATGTCTTGGCCAGGCAAGGTTCTGTCGGTTGCATTGCCTTTGCTGCTTTGTCATGAGCTGACCTATTTGTGTAGGTCTGTCTCTGGAAGCTGTTCTGTTTCACTGATCTGTGGGTCTGTTTTTCCACTAGTATCACAATGTTTTGATGACCGTGTTTCGGAAGGCTTTTAATTATTGATTCCATTTCTTCAGCCTTCAGCTACTGTCTTCTCCTGTGAGTTTTGGCAGACTGTGTCCGTTAAGGAATCGGTCCATCCCATCATGTAAGGTGTTAGATGTATGGACATAGAGGCTTTCGGCTTGTCCTTTGGTTATTTTTTGGTACGCATGGAGTCTGTCGTGATTGATGACCCTTTGGATTTACAGTATCCTTACTTCCTTCTCTCTTAGCCTAGTTAGAGACCTGTCAATTCAGTTAATATTTTCAAGGAATTGGCTTTGGATTTCACGTTCTTTCTGTACTGACTTCCTGTTTGTGTTGATTTCTGGTCTAATTCTTCATTATTTTCTTCTGTCCTGAGGGCTAATTTGCTCCTCTTTCCTCTGGGGCCACAACAACAGCTCTGTGGACTGCCAGTTCTCTGGGCAGACTTGAACCTCAGTAAGAATTTAGAGAAATGAAGTCAGCTTGTATTTTCCTTTAGCTAAAAATACCTCCTCTTTGATGAGATGTAGTGTTTTATGTTGGCCAGCCTCTACAAAGTACCTTTAGAAAGTCTTACGCTAAATGGGAATGAGCCTGCCTCGGGCACAGCCTGGCCGAGTGGCCTACAGTGGCCCGGTGGCATGCTAATGGAAGCCTGGGGGGTGTGCATGCGGGGAGCTTGAACGATGCTGCTGCAGCCGCTTGAGGACACATGGGGCTCACATGCGGGAAGGTGGAGCAAGCTTGCGAATCTTGTCACGAGTGTGGCCCCTGGAAGGGGGCAAGGACATGTGTGGGAGGGAAGACCACTGAGGGAACATGTTGCAGGCAATAAATTACTTCTGAGGGGCTTCCATCAAGGCCGCTGTATTTGCAGGTATGCAGGGGTGCTGAGACCGAGCACTTGCAGAGGGATGCTGGAGGACTTTTATGGGTCAGATGGATGAACCAATCCACGTGGGAGACATGGGCTGGACTGGATGGCTTAGATCACTGCCAACCACCAGTCATTGGCACACGGTAAAGCTAGGGCTGGTACCATAACAGAGGATGGAGCACAGACTAAAGTGATCAACTACCCCAGCCTGGCGTTGACAGCAAATGTCTGGGCGAATGGAGGTTCTGGGGCGGGCTGTGTCATCGAATGGACCTTGGAATGATTTCTTCCTTCTTGGATCAGAAATCTGTGGTATCTGAGAACCATCAAATCCTCCCGGACAGAATCCTCAGAGCATGCTCAATATTGGGAACCCTGGGATGACATCAGGTGGCTGTTCCCCATCAGGTGGCTGTTCCACTGGGGCAGTGGAGAGCCTGGGTGCTACTACCACCCTAATTTCTCTCTCTTCCTCGGGATACAGGAGGAAGAGAGGGAAAAGAGAAACGATGGTCTTACCTACTCACCCCTGGCTCTTGGCCCTTCCCATCCTGGTCAACTATGTAAGCATCATCAAAAATTAAAAATAACATTAAATAAGTTTACTTTGCTGCAAAACATTTTGGAATCCATGTAAATTTTTTTTTACAATATACATTTGTATGAAAATTTAAAAATTTTTAAATTTATTGGAAAGGCAGATATACAGAGAGGAGATTCAAAGAGAAAGATTTTCCATCCACTGGCTTACTCCCCAAGTAGCTACAATAGCTGGGGCTGAGTTGATCTAAATCCAGGAGCCAGGAGCTGGCCCCAGATCTCCCATGCAGGTGCAGGGACACCCCAATAGGCTCACACTGTTCCCACCCACCTCGGGTCTCACATGCACTGGTGGGTGCTGCGACCCAGTCTGGCATGGCCCATCTCACCTCAGCATTTGCCAGTGGGTGCTGTTGCCCAACCCAGTCCAACCCCGCCAGCTCTGGCTGGTGTTGTGGTCTGACCTGGCCAGTCCTGCACCCTGTCCTGGCTCTCACAAGGTTGGGCTGTCCTTCACTGATCTCCCAAGCCACAGGACCTATTGTAGACATGGATTTCAGTGTTTTTTTTTTATTTAATTTTTTAATTTTTCATGATTAATCAGGGTGGGAAAGATTGAGGATTAGGGAAAAGTGGGTGGACTCATTGTTTCCAAATTTGCTATTTCTTCTTTTTGTTTCTGGGGAAAGGGGAGAGATAAAGGTGGAAGCCACACCTGGTTAGCCAAATGCCCCCAGCGATGGGGAACCACCACCCAATGTCAACAACCCAGGGTCTCAATGTGTGCATGTTCCAAGGGTTCTGCCCAAATGGTTTGGATAGTTCTGAAATCTGTCAGTTTCACCTTTCCAAGGATGAGTCAGCCCTCCCAATGTCCACTGGCTGACATAGTCCACCTCAGGGCCTCCATTCACCGACATTTTTTGCTGTCATTGTTTGGCTGGGGTAGTTGTCTAATTTGTTCTGTTCTTCTTCTGCTACAGTACCAAATGGGCTGCCATATTCTCCATGTGCATCAGGGTATGCGTCCACTGCTCCACCTTTTTCACCAAGGAGGGTATATTCTTGCAGGCAAGTCCAAGGACCTGGGCCAGGCAACCCAAGTGTCACTAGATCCCCCACCCCTGGGGCTCACAAACCTTGCACCCTGCTCACAGGTAGGCCCAAGGACCCAAGCCTGGTGACCGCAGCCCTGCAGGATGCCCCACTACCAGGGCTTACAACAATTTTTTTTTTTTTTTGCCTTAGTATAAACTTTCCCTTTAACCCCATTTTCCATGCACTTTTTGAGCTACCTTCATATAACATAAAGGTGCTAAGCAGAGCTCTTACTTTTGCCGGCATATTGGACTTCCTGGCAGCGAGAGAGGGCACTGCTGCCCAGGTTCCACCCTGAGCTCCTGGACAGAGGTGACCTAGGCTGGCGCCTGAGACGGACAGGGCTCCAGGAATCCCCTGCAGTGAGCCTAGCTGGAGACCATGGTCCCAGCTGCTTCCCTGAGTTTTCCAGAAGGGTTCATGACTGGGACACAGGAGGAGCTGATGTTAAAGCCACACTCAACAATACAGTCTCAGGCTGAGTTCCTGGGTGTCCCATTTTCTAAATACATCTCCTGCTGGAGTCACCCAGGGGATCCTTTTGGGCAGGGATCTTAAGCAACCCAGTGGGAAGGGACAATGCATTCTGGAGGGGACCCCCTGCTGAACGTGACCCATAAGTAGCAGTCTTGGTGCAGTCTCATGTTCAAAGTCAAGGTATAGTGTGGCCGGGGGTCTTCTCCCCCTCCAGGGATTCTACAGAGAAAAGAGGGAGAGAGAGGGATCCTACAAAGGAAGGAGCCAGATGTTAAAGCCGCTGCTGTCCTGAGCAGGTGGTGTGGGCCTCTCAGAGCCCTGTGGCCAGGGTTTCTGATAGGCACACACCGAGTGTGGATTTGAGGGAAGAGTGGGGTCAGCTGATGTTACAGAGAGCCGTGGGCCACTGATGGGCAGAGAGAGGGGATGGGAGAGAGAGATAGAGAGAGAGGGAGGGGCTACATCAGGAGAGGTAGGAGTGGCTGAGAGTGTGGAGGAAAGGGTTTGTTGTGATGGTTAGGGTTGGGGGTCTTCACAGTTGGTACAGACACCCACAGCATGTATGAATGTGTGACCAGCAGGGCAAACCAGTGTGCCATGCACCTCTTTCTCTTGCCTTCCTCAGAGGAGCGCATCCTGGAGACTGAGCCCTGAGCTGCTCACCAGTCTCCTCCAGATGGGCTGGGGCCCATGTTTGTGAAGAGACCAGCTGAGAGTGGAGAAGGGATGGGGTTCAGGCCGGCGGGCAGGGCTTAGTGGTCACATATTCAGAAGTTCACAAGGCAGGTGCTTTTCTTGGCTCTGGAATTGGAACATGGAACAAAACCAGGTTCATCTGTAGTGCAGGAGGTCCAGGGGTTGCTTGGATCTCCTTCGACGGAAGCTGGGCCTGGTCTGGGGGATGGGATGGGTGGAGAGGCTGCCTTTAGGTGCTAGAGTGCACACCAAGGGTGGAGCTGGATTCAGGGCCAAAGGGCAGCCAGGCCGAGGCTTGGAGAGCGGTGCATAGCAGCCCGTAGACCCCAACAGTGGGATACAGCACAGCTGACAGAGGATTCTAAACAAGGAGAATGCTGAGTTGATCCCTTGGTACTCAAGTTGAGGGTGGCTGCATCACCAGGCCCTTGTCCCAGTGCCACCAGGGAGGAGATGTTCAATCCAGGGACCAGTGGACTGGGGCATGCCAGGGCTCAGTTCCAGAGCAGCAGCAGACAGGCGAAATGGGCAAAACTGGGCGGCTGTGGTCAGCAGCCAGGGTCTGTGCAGACAGCTTTGTGGGAGCGTGGATATCCCGGGGAGACTTCCCCAGCCAGCCTTGGAGCATGCTCATCCTTCCTTCTGCTTCTGCAGATCCGGACGAGGGACAGGGTCTTCGACAGCATCAGCCACCTCATCAACCACCACCTGGAGAGCAGTGTGCCCATCATCTCCGCAGGAAGCGAGCTGAGCCTGCAGCAGCCAGTGGAGAGGAGACTGCCGCCGGGGGACCTAGGCTAGAGTGACCTCGGGCTCTGGAAACCCGCCCACCACCTGTGGGCTCAGAGCCTGCTGGGGAAGCCCCCACTCCTGGAAGAGGGCTTCCTTCAAGTTCAAGTTACATAAACTTGTTGCCGATTTCTCATATGCCTACTAAAGGTGTATATACCTATACATCCTGTACAAAGTGTCCCTCTATATTTATATTTTTTAAGATTAAGAAAGATGTAAGACTTATGTTCTGTGCTGTATGTTTTTAATGAAAAAAAAAAATGTTTGACTGTAGTTGTCCAGGCAAAAAAAAAAAAATTCTGATGATCCATTTTGCTGGGAAACCCCTCCAGAAAGGCGTAGGCTGCAGTTGTACCTAACAAAGCACAATCCAAGGGAAAAAGAGGCAGGAAGATCGGGGACACACCTGGGATTGTGATAGAGTAAAGCAGCGCGCTGCTGGAGGCTGGCTGGCCTTGCGTTGGCCACACCACAGACGTCGGCTTGCTGGTGGGGTTGCCTTCTCCTTGTGCCTCCTCTGCAGGGTACCCTCGTGCTCTCCGCACTGCACACCTGTGCACAGTTCAGCACCGGCGACTGACAAACAGGTGGGTTCCCAGTTCCCCCAAGGGCACCCTGTCATCCTTGACTCCTGTTTTATGCATTTTATGCTGAATGTGGTACCACAGAGGCCTCACTGATCAAGGGCTGGGTTGGCGAATGCTCCCTGCTGTTCTCATCGGAACCATGATGAGATGGGCATCTGTAAGAGAGAGATCCGTTTAGATGTCCTCGTTCATGGCGCTTGATAGCGGCTGTTGGTGAATTGTTTCCTGGCTGCCCTGGGTGTTCATTGGCCAGAGAAAAGACTTGTACGGGGTGGGGTAAGGGGTGTTGGTGGCAGAGCGGTGCCTACAGGTTACCAGTGCAGGCCTGGAGGCCAACCTGGCAACCCTCACTCCTGGCCCTTCAGTGTCAGTAAGTGGTTTCGCTTAGAATGGGGACACTTTCCCTCCACTGTCATTTCCTGGTGGGTCGTTTGGTGTCAGAAAGCTGGTAGTGCTTATACTGTCATGGAGATGCCTTGGCTAAGACGACCCTGAGATGTGACAGAGGCCGTGAAAGAGTTTGTTTGCTCACTGGCACTATGACCTCGACCCCTTCTCTTCCCCAAGGTGGTGATGGCCGTGGCATCTGGCACACTTGCTCTGTGAGAAACAAGATGCCTTCACCCACTTGGAGTTATGTAGTGAGAGCCTGGATACTGCAAGAGGAGCAAGGGGTGTGGAGTTTGTGATTTTCTATTTGTGCCTGTGGAATGTTGCTTGGTCCAGTGGCTCGAGACAGGTGCCAGGCATTCACTTGGAGCCAGGCGGGACAGCGTGGTGCTGTCCAGCCACTGGTCGTTGTGTCCGGCACTGTGGGACAGGGAAGAGCTAGTGGGTGGGGATGAAGCAGATGCCAGGCTTCACTCTTAGCCTTCCCTGGAATTCTTGCCCTTTGGGGGTCCAAGCGGATGATGGAATCAATCTTCTTGAGTGTTCTCTGATGGATTGGGGCTCTGGCACCAGTCTGGTCTACCAGCGGCTTCTTGGAGTGCCATGTGGCTTCCCTGCTCCAAGTCAGCCAGATGTGATGGGCTGGGTGGGGATGCTGGCAGCAGCTGGCTCAGGCTCCCAACATCCAGTGGCTCTGAGAGCTACACTGTACTTCTGCACCCAGGGAGGCCTGTGGCCCTGTAGGCCACATACAGGTCCAATTTTCTTGTGTGCCAAAGTCCACAACCTATAAAGATTTAACCTGCATCTTACTCACTTTGGACTGCCTGGGTTTGATTTCTGATTCCGACTCCTGACTCCAGCCACCTGCTAATGCACACTCTGGGAGGCCGTGGTGATGACTCAGCACCTGGGGCTCCGCCACCTGCATGGGAGACCTGGCCTGAGCTCCTGGCTCTTGCCTCTGACCCCTGCCCAGCCCTGGCTGGTGGGCATAGTTGAGGAATCAACTAGCAATGTCTCAATTGAATAAAATATCAAGCAAGCTTCTCTTGAGGTCTTGCTTCCACAGACCAAAAAAGCTACCATTAAGGATGTTAGCAAAGTAGGATGCAAGTGGCATAAGGTTTGATTGGTTGTATTTTTACTCTTACAGGCACCTAAAGAAAGAGTAAATCTGAAGTTTTGATCTCTTCTGAAGTGAGCATTTATTAAAGGGTAGTGGGCAACTAGAATATACTATTGCATGAAAACAATTTAGACCATTTAAAGCACCAGAATCACATCCTTTCTTTTCCATGTTACTTCCAAATACAGAGTTACCCTGGACAGCGCCCTGTGAGTAAACTGGCACAACCCTCAGCAGGCTCTCAGAGCGGATTCCAGATGTCAGGGCCACCAGCAGTTGTTCAATCCCTGTTCCTGTCCCCTGTAAAGGGAACTGGAGTCCACACCAGCTGTCTCATCCCCCATCACATGCCATGTGGGTGAGCCCTGCTTGTGAGCTACACTTGCTAGTGGAGGACCTATGCTTGGGTAGGGCCACACCTTGCACAGGTCCCTGCAGGCTGCTGCAGCAAAAGTTCTTCCACTCACTCAGTGTTTGCAGCTCTGCCAGATGCCAGCCAAGGCTCAAGGCTCAAGGCTTCTCATCCTCATGGGCTCTCTGGCCAGTGCAGGGCTGCTGACCAAGGGCACACCAGCACGATGCCGTGCACATAGGGGCGCCATCACTACGCGCTGGACAACTCTGGGCCCATGGGTGTGTCCAGGCCCTGCTGCCCCCTCCTGGTGCCTCTACCACTCCACACAGACCCCTGAGGTCTGCAGGAGCATGAGGAAGGCTGGCCATCCTCAGGGGCCCCTCTCTGCTCAAAAGAGTGGTTTGCCCTCACCCGCCACCCTTCTGGGTGACTCAGTCCGTTTTAAGTTGCGTCTGCATCCTGTTCAGGTCAGCCAGCCCTCCAAGCGTCAGTGTGATTTAGTGCGGTTGAGGTTAGCTTTGATCTTGGCCCACAAGGTTCCCTTGCAGAATAGGGGGCGGGGGCTGCATAAGCAATGTGGCTGAAGGAGTGGCCACACCCAGCCCCCCGCACCCTGCCTTGGGGTGCTCTTGATGCTCTAGCTCTAAAATGCAGTGTTCTCTGGAGCATCAGATGAATGACTGAAGGGGACTCTGTTCCCTAAGTGTTGCTTCAAAACGCAGATGCCCTGGTCCTCATTTTATCTGCCTTGGTGGCACCTGCAGGCCAGACCACATGGCCTTCCTGGGAGCAGAGCCCACACTGCAGCCCTTCCCAGGAGGTAGTGCTGGCTGTGCTGGACACCTCTGTCCAGCCCCAACTCTTGCACACCCAGGATCATCAGTCACACACTGGGTACCCCAGTCCTGAGCCTGGGCTCATGCCACACTGCAGGGTGACACTATGAGACAGTGTGTGTGGAGGGGGTGCAGGTGAATTGTTTAAGCGTGGAGAACGTTTAATTTCTGGAGTCTTCATTTACACCCCCCCTCCCCCCAGAGTGTCAGATCTCTCCTGTTGACCCGAGGTTGGATGCTTCTGTGAATGGTCAAGTGGGAGCAGACGGGAGAATTTTGTAGGAAGACTGTAAATCAACCACTACAGGGCCCTGGCAAAGGATCCCTGAGGGTCTCAGGATGAGACTTGGGTTTTCCCACAAAACGCTTAAAGCTGGTGTTGATGAGGGCAAAATGACAAAACTTCATTCTGGTCACAGGCAGCAAAGCCCTGTGTGGGACCACAAGCAAGGGAGCTGTACGGGGTAGGCTGGTTGGAAGCACCCATTCCTGAATTGGCTGAATCTGGCAGGAGGTGGGGGGCTTCCTAAGTCCCACCCTATGACTGCAGCAAGTGCACTCCTGCCTCTGATTTTACACTGGCGCTGTTTCCAGGGAGCATGGTGGCCGCTTCCATAGCAGGGCTCATAGACGCAGACCTGGGGAGGGGGGATTAGAGTGTGTGTTCTTGCTCACTTGTGCAGTGAGCCTTAGAATGGAGAAGGAAGGGGCATGCAGAAGGCTGTCCTGACGTGGGCAGCTGGGGGCATTGCAGAGTCAGCCCGGTGGAGGGGAGGAAGCCAGGCTATTTGTCTACCAAGCCCAGCACTGGAGCAGAGATGTTTCTGAGGACAGATTCATGCTCAAGCAGGGCAGTCCTGGGACACAACCAGGCACTGGGATCAGCCGATTTAGAGGAGGCGGGCAGCAAAAGTAGCTGGTGCTGGTGCACCTGCAGATTGCTGGGCCCCATCCCTTCCCATCAGTAGGTGTGCGTGGGCCCTGAGCATCTGCATTTTAAATACAATCTCCAGTTGGTGCTGGCGTGGGTACCCTATGACTTTAAAAAGCATGAGCTGGAGCAAGTTTTCAATCTCTTGTTGATGGCTTCCCTCCCCACACACATGATTAAGCTTACATCCCATCTCATGTCATGGATCCCAGGGCCCATGCTGAGAAATTATAGGTGGAAGATGATTAAGCATTGATAACTCCATGCAACCATCACTGGCAGATTAAATGCCGTCTGCCAGCCACAATTTATTTATAATGGAACTTATACATATTTATAAGTTTGCGGCAACAAATGCAGCTTTCCAACTGGCGTGTTTTATGGCTGCCAGGAGAACTGCAACTTCAGACAAGAAGTTTTTTGAGTGTGAATTGCGTATATATATATATATACACGCACAGACACTTGCGCACACTTGGCTGATTAAAATGGACAGGCATCTCTGTGTATGGACACAGACTGGCTCTGCAAGGTGCACCCCCCTTGGGATTGTGGTTTTGCAATTGCAAAAAGCCAAAGTGACGTTAAGCCTTGGAGTCAGCTGGGGAAGGAGGTAGCGTTGGCTGTCCTTTGCTAGGAGAGGGGCACATGGTGGGCACTGCTCAGCTTTCCTTACCAAGCTCACTGGTGCATCCGCTTTTAGGTGGCAGGCCCTGTGGCAGGCTCGGAGCACAGAGAAGTAAGTGCATGAAGTTTCTGCCTACGTTTCTAGTTTCATAGGGGAGAGACATACAAAGGGTTTGGAGTGGGACCAGCCCTTGCAACGTGGCCGTGCCCAGGTTTAAGGGGTCCAGTGAAGACAGGTATCTAGGTTGCCGTGAAACCCTGAGAAGGTTCTGGAAAAGCTGAACATGCTGTCAGAGGAGGCAGAAGGAGGTGTGGCAGGCTTTGAGCTCACCTGGCACAGGTGAACGGCTGGCATCAGAGCGAATGCTGGGGGTGGGGGTGGGGCCAGAGTTCTTACTTTCCTCCTCTTCCTTCCCTGCTGGCTCAGATGCCCCCCGATATGCAAATTCCTGAGAGCCCCCAGACACAGGGGCTCATTCCTTAGGGCTGGGAGGACCCTTCTCACTGAAGAGAATCAGAAATGAAACCTCAGAGGATTCTAATTTTGTGTTGTTTCCTTTTGTCTCACCTTGAGAAGCTAGTTAGAAAAACATGCCGACAGGGAGTGAGTGCCCTGGCCCCAGGCTGCTGAGGTCATGAGTTCACGCTCACGCACACCTTAAACACAATCCATGTTTGTAACCACAGCGATCAAGTGACGGCGAGCGAAGCCGAAATGAATGAACAATCCTTTTGGGAGTGGCCAGCTGCCTGCCCCCGTGCTCATTCATAACTGGGCGTGACTTAAACAGAACGTTCTCTGTCCTTTTTGACTTCTTAATATACTTGTTCTGGGTTACTGTAAAAATCAAGTATGTGAATGTTTCTTTTTATGCAAAAACTAAATATCGGGTGTTGAAATCCCAGGATTAGGAGACAACTCCATGTAAATTCAATGTTTGCTACTTTTTTAAGAAGCCGCTGGGTGGTAAATGCGACACACTGGTAAACGCATATTGTTCGACGACGCTGTTCGCATTCACTTTTCAAGAAGCAAAATCATCGCCTCGGCCGGTGCTCTGGCTTGTAGCTGCCTGGCCGCCCCCTGACTTTGACATGGAGAGGGCCCTTGCCTTTAGGGCAGGGTCTCTGAGGAGTTGGAAACAAAGTCCACTTCAAGTTTTTAAATCTCTGTTTACTCACCTAAGCAACCAAACCTAAGTCACCTGGCTAGCGTTTCTGAGACCCAACAGGAGAGCGAGTGAGAACGGGCTTCCGTTCACTCCTCACCTTCCAGTCCAGTGCTGGAAACCATGGGGTTTCCACAATGAGCCCTTTCCTGGGCTTCCGGTCTGCCCAGCGAGGGAGGGGATCACGCACCATCCCTGTGAGCCGACTGGGGTCCAGAAGGGAGAAGGAGCTGCTTGGCGGAGGTGACGCTGCGTTTCTTGTCGTCGTAACTGGCGATTGGACTCTGTGCCTTGATTACCTGAACGGTGGGTGAACATCGCTGCTCCTTGTGGCAAACCCTTTGGAAATTTGATACTAAAAAAACCTTTGGGTGTTGAGGTGTCAATGTGTAGACACAATTGAGAAGCATGGACTTGGCCGAGTAATTTAGATGTTTTCTATACAATGTATATTGTTACATTTCTGTGAAAGGCCCTTGACCAGTTAACTTGAGGGTTGAGTAAAACCATTTTCTATATAGCTAATTGTATCACTGTCAGTGTGAGTCTGCTGGCAATAAAGGCTACTGGGAAAAATCTGTATTTGGATGTGGGTCTGGCATTGTGTTAGAGAGAGAGAAAGAATGGAGTGTGACATTTTCCCCCTAGAAAGTAGGTTACTCAGTTCCGTCAGGAGATTCCTAGGAAACCTCCATCCATCAAGGGCACAAAGGGGTGGGCGTGGCTGGGGCATTTTAGCCGGCCTTGGACAGGTGGGCTTGCAGTTGCAGCCCTGGGGTGTGTCAGGAACCGGCATCTCATCCCGAGTGGCCATAATGTCACCTCCAGAATGGTTCCACCAAGGATGGGCTCTGCAGGACCTCCTGACAGAGGGACCGGCTCTGATCTGCCCCCCTCTATTCACACAGATAGCAGCCGACCAACGCAAAACCCAGTATTCTATCTCGGGGCTGTTTTCATTGCCATGGCTCAGGGTTTTCTCCTCCTCCAAAGGCCCCTCTCTCACTCTTCCTGAATCCTGCAGGATGTCCTCCAGCTGTTGCAAATGACACCTAGCTCACCTCATTCAGTGCCATCACGATGTGGGTGGGAGAGGAGATTGCACAGGGCCTATGGGGCTCTCAACGTGCTTTAATTCCTGAATGGCTGAGAAGCACTGGTACCAGGTAGGGAACAGACACGTCCACTTTGCCTATATTGAAGGGTGGCTCCCACGAAAACAATCGACTTCCAAGAACACAGTTATACAAAGGCTTTCCATTTTATTTGTTGTTTTTTTTTTTTTCTTAAACAAACATACATTGGAAATGGCAAAGGCACTAACCAAAGAGAGATCTGATGCACAGCTGCTCGGCGGCGGCGTTCAGGATTCCCCGTCTCCAGGCCTCCAAGAGAAGGCTCTGAATCCCACAGCTTCTAAGCTACTGTTGACGGGCTGGCTGGGAAAATTCAGATGGGTTTCAAAGCCGGGTTTTGTTTTTTAGTACCTATCCAATGGGTACAATGACTTTGTTTGGCTTCTGCGTTCTCCCACAGGCAAGTCTTCTCATAGCACTGGTGGCTCTGATACCTTAGAAGCATTAATGGCTGTCAGGAAGCTGAGTGAGAGAGTGTAGGGTGGCTGAGCTCAGGGGCAGAGGGATCCCGGGGTCCCCACGACCATCGTACCTGCGGCACAAAGTGCAGACATCCTTTCATTCTCAGTGTGGGAAGGCTTCACTCCAAATCTGAATGCTTTCCTTTCCCAGAAATGTCCTATGCCTTCTCATGCCAGTGAGGGTGAATCAGCTTTTTAGTGACACAGAGAACGCCATGGTGAGCATCTGCACCCCACATGGTTTGTCTCATCAGGAACAAGAGTCAGAGGGGTCTTTGGTCAGTGTGTGGTGATGACCCAAGTCCCACGGGACTGCTCCTCCATGACAGACTGCATCACACAGCAACCAGGAGTTGTTAAGACTATTCCTGTAGGTCCTGGGCAAAAGTCCCCGCTGAACCCAGGAAGTACTTGGGGGTGGTGGTGTGACGTTCACCAGTGAATGAGTGCTTCTGAAAGCTGGCTGCTTTTGTCTGATTTTTTTTTTTTTTTTTTGCAAAGTACTCAGTGCGGCAGCTGTGGGCTTGCGCTGGCTTCACAGGTGCTCCCAGCTCACCCTTGGGCCCTGCACGGAGAATCTGAGAGGAGGGGCCTGCAGGACAACTTCTTCCACAGCATCCTTTTGTGTGGGGAACAAGGTTCTGCTATTATTGTAAAGTGAAACCGTGGGAGCATGAAGGTGTGGCTACCGGATCACGTCTCCCAGCCTCCTTCAGGTTGGCTTTGCGGAGCCATGATTCCACCGATGGCCCCAGCCACCAGGTAGCGATGGCATGGATGATGCTGATTTGAAATTTTGCATGCAGGATCAAACCTGGTGTGGAACCAGAGTACCAGAAGCCTCTTCTCCGGGATCATCCTGTCACACTAGGCAGACTTTGGCTCTCCAGCACTCAGAAGGTGAACAGGGCCAAGGCCAGCCTCCGCCTCTCCCCCATGGGGTCTGTCTTTGGTCGACCAAGGGTTCCGGCACGTGGAAGAACTTGGCTGGCTTTTCTGTGGATGTGCATGAGCTTGTATAGGAATACAGAAATGAAGGATCATAGGGCTGGCGTGAGTCAGTCTTGCACATGGGGAGCTAGCTTGGAACAAGACTTGGAAACTGGAGACCTTGTGACTGAGGCCTGATGTCAGTCTGAGGCGACTAGAGATTGCACGTACACCTGAAGTGCATCCATGTCGTGGTGCCTAGAGGTGCAGGTGGAACATGCTTGCAGAAACTGCTACACAGCCATGTGGGGGTGTTGAGACTTCATGGAGGTACCACATAGGGAAGATCTAGAACAGATATTCCGCATGACACAGAAAGGAAGGGAGACCTTTCCACCTTATGGGGAAATACATGGTGTGAAGCGTGTCACCCAGAGGCACACGGTTCTCTGTGCGTGTGTGTGTGGTATGGTCCCTGACTACCCTCTTCGAGAACAGTGGGCTCTGTGATCGAATGGGAGGGAGTGGATGATGTCAGCAACTTAGTAAATTCCAAGTACCTGCAGCCTCAAACAGACGAGGCATGATGTCCTCCACGGCACAGGCTGGCAGTTCCCTAGGTCCCCTCCCTAGCAGTGTGCCTACAAGGCAGACCAGCGGACATCCATCAAGCGGCCACAAGAAGGCCCGCGTAGATGCAGTCACACATGGAATAAATAAGATGGGGCCGCACAGTGAGCCGTGTGGCGGTTCACTTGCAAAGGATCCCGTTCTGCAGTGTTTTGCTCGTGTCCACGATGCACGATGAGACAGCCGTGTGCAGCAGGTCCTCCTTGATCTTTGGGGAGTGGCTGCTATTGTTGCTGCTGCTTGATTTGCTTCTGCTGGGGTCGAGATTTGGCTGGACGGGCGAGGCACGGGTCCCCTGGCCCCTGACCAAGCAGGTGCACACGAGACGGAAGAAGGCACGCCTCATCTCCTTGCTGGCCAGTGTGTAGATGATGGGATTCATGGCGGAGTTGAGGACAGCCAGTACGATGAACCACCGGTCCTTGAACAGGATGGGGCACTCCTTCACCTTACAGGCCACGTCGATGAGGAAAAGGATGAAGAGTGGGGACCAACAGGTGATGAATACACCTACCACGATCACCACGGTGCGCAGCAGGGCCATGGAGCGCTCCGAGTTGTGGTGGCTGGCCACCTTGCGGCTGCTGGACTTGACCAGGCAGTAGATGCGTGCATACAGGATCACGATGGTGGCCAGGACAGCAATGAAGATGCTGATGAGGAAGGCAATGTACTTCTTGGAGTAGAGGGGTAAGATGGTGGAGCAGTCAGGGAGGTTGTGCAGGCAGTTCCAGCCCAGGATGGGCAGGGAGCCCAGCAAAAAGGCGATGAGCCAGCACATGGCAATCAGCAGGAAGACGCGGTGCTTCTTGTTGGCATCATAAGGCCGCATCTTGATCATGGTCAGGTGCCGCTCGATGGCGATGGCCAGCAAGCTGCAGGTGGACGCGCCCAGTGCCACGAACATGCTGCCCTCCCTGATGAACCAGACGGTGGGCGACAGGCTGAACGTCTTCTTGCCTGACATCAGGATGTTGACCTTGTAGGCCACGCCGGCCAGCAGGTCACAGAGAGCAAGGTTGCCGATGAAGAAGTACATGCGGTTGTGAAACTTATTGTTTTTCCAGATAGCGATCAGAACCATCAAGTTCTCCAAGACGATGAAGCTGCAGATGACCAGGGCGAACACGGTGGTGAGCGTGTTGCTCTCCGAGGAGTCCTTCAGCCGGCCCTCCAGCTTCCCCACGTAGCTGTAATGTGTCTGCAGTGTCCCGTTGCCCAGGGCGGCGGTGGCCATCGCTCGGCATTCGCGGGCGGCTACCTCCACGGTCCTCCAGAGGGCGCCCGAGGAACGTGCATTTCAAGGGACCAGGCCTGCCGGGGCTGCGACCTCAGGAATGCAGAAGCCAGGGGTGTCACAGAACATGGATTCCTGCAAAGAGGCGAAAGCAGGGGCGTCGGTGAAAAAGGGGGATGCCGCCCAGCAAGCCACAGCCACAACAGCGTCGGAGAAATGCAGGAGAAACGCCGAGGCCTTTGGACAGCGTTAAGCACAGGCCACGATTCCAAGTGGTGGAAGAAGCCCAGCGAAAGTGACGAAGGATGTGGAGATGCCAAAATAGACGTCACACAAGGCCACACAGGCCCAGATAACACCCCCGTCTAGAAATTTCAGACCAACGGGAAATGCTAACCACTTAGTCCTCATATCCCGCCCAGGAGCTGGGAAACCTTAAGCCCACTCACCCAGAGAGACAAGCAGCATTTCCTCAGGGCAAATAAACAGGATGGCGCGGGATCTGCCTATATCCAAGACTCCACAGCCTGTCGGGACTGCCCTTGTGAGACACGCCCACACTTCCTGGATGCCTCCCCTGGGGCCTGGGCCAGGAGCACAGATCAGTTCTGGGGGCACCATCCGTCTAGCCCAGGGACAGCCCTCGGGTATGACCATGCAGCCCTGAGGCTGGGCATGACTCATGGGCACCCCAGAGGGAGCAGCTGAGAACTGGCAGGGGAGGGAGTGGTACAGACGCGTGAAAGACGAGTGGGCTGAGTGTGAAGGAAGCCAGCCCAAAGTGTGCAAGCCACATGCACTCTCTCACTGAAAATTCAGTGGCTTGAATAGTAGGTTCAATCTTGTCAAGGCATTATGCTGGCAGAAGCATCTAATTGGGAATATGACAACAGAATGAAGTGGCGCGCCCAGAACCAGGCACCGGGAGGTTTCTGGATGTCAGTTCTTCCACGAGATCTTGACTTGGTCCACCCAGCCCCTCTGTGATGTCATGGGGGAAGCAGACCCCGCCATCTAAGACAGAAGTGCTCACGGTGGACTCACCTACTTGCTTTAAAAAAAAAAAAATCATTCATTAGGGGATGACATGATGGCATGGTAGGGTAAGCCTCTGTCTGTGGCACTGGCATCCCAAATGGGCACTGGTTCAAGTCCCAGCTGCTCCTTTTCCGATTCAGTTCCCTGATAAGTTGCCTGGGAAAGCAACTCTTTACACCACTGCATCCTTGTGGGAGATGCAGAAGACCCAGAAGAAGCTCCTGGATCCTAGCTCTGGTCCAGCCCAGCTCCAGCCATTGTGGCCATCTGGAGAGTGAAAAACAGTACATTTCAGTCTTTCTTGCCATCTCTCTCTCTCTCTGTAACTGCGTTTCAGATAAAAATAAATAAATAAGTGTTTTGGTAAAAGATTATGAACTTAATAACAACTGCAGTTAAATTCGATGCTTGTGTACCATCTGTAATGATCAGCTTAAGCCAGAGCAATCCTCATTTCTACCTCCTCCAGCATTTATTGTGTCTGTGCTGGGACCCTCCACACGCCTCTCTTCTTGTTCTTTACGGGATACACAGCAAGCGCTTGTGAGCTGTGGCTGCCGTAGTATACTGCAAGCTACGAGCCTGCATTCCTTTTCACTCCGCTTGGACACCTGCTATCTGCCTGCCCTATCCTATCCCTGACGCACACCTGGTGGCCACCACCCGCTGTCTAAGGTAGGAGCTCAGCATCTTAGCTACCGCACGAGGGCCAAGAGGCAAGCGTTTGTCTTTTCAAACATACTTAAGTGAAAATCACCCAAGACATGAAATACCTAATGAGGTTCAGACATCACAGCCCACAGTGTGTGGCCGGTGGAGATAACTTTGTTTTTCATGATGTTTAGAAGTCAGGTGTGTACAGATCACTCTCCAGCCTTGGAGGACACTGTGTTTGGGGTGTGATACGAGCTAAAGGCTTCATGCACCTGTGAGCGCTTTTCTGGGCAAGAGTCAAGGTCCAGTGGGAGCCTCAGCCCCTGGAAGGGACTCGACCATGAGGCTGAGAAGCAGAAGCTGGGGGAAGGAGCAGAGGGTGTGGGATGATTTTCAGGTGCTCGTGACCGTGCAGGGCCAGCAGCCTCCCTCCATGGCCTCTCTCCTGCACACCACTTAGAGGGCTGGAGTTTTCCTGATGTGGGCAAAAGACTGCTGGGTCTCCTTGCAGAGCTGCCTCTCAGCGCCTTGGAGCTTGCAAGGTCATGGGGTCTGGAAGTACTAGGGCTGCCTAGGCTGATGTCTGTGCCCTGCCCCTTCTCTGACTCCTCAGTGACAGCTATGTGGGAACCATCGAGGGCTTGGGTAGAGGTCAGCTTGAAAACCAAGCATGCTGAGAATCTACATGCAAAAAGGAAAAGAACATGCACCTGAGGTCTGACCTAAACGGCAAGGGGAAGCCACCTGCCCAACCTCCCCATCACTCCACACGAGCCCTGCCATGCCGACTCAGCCCCTGCCACCTGCCTGGATGGACCAAGGTCCTGAGCTGCAACTTCTCCCAGAGGCTGTCAACAGCCTTCCCTCCTGCTCCTCCCACTCTTGAGTTTTACTAAAAGGGTTGTCTGTCCTTCCAGCCCCATGACAAATTCCACCTGCTCTTCCAGCATCTTCTGAGGCCATATGGCCCCTTAAAAATAACAGCTGCCCACAGCCTTTTGACGAGGAAAAGTAACCATGCTGGCCTCCTGCACGCTGTCCATCAACTGTCTGCAGAAGCTCAATGCCCCTTACTGGCTTGCTGAGACTCACAGGAGCCTCCTGGTGCCTTGCGCTCAGTGGAGGCTTTCCCTCCTGCCTGGCTACCTGCCTGTGAGCAGTGAGTGGAGCATCACTTATCACACGTTCTCACTCTGTTCCATTTCCATCCTGAGTCACAGTAGAGGCCAGTGAAGTCAACAGGCCCCAGAAGTGAGACACGGCCTTCACCGGGCTGCTGAACCCAGACACCAGCCCAGCTCCCACCACGCCTGCAGACCCGTTCCTGTGCCCCCGTGCCAGGCAGCCATCTGCACTGCCCATGGTGCCACATATCTGGGCTTCTTCTCAGAGTGTCCCCCAGCTGCCCTGAAACCAGCATATTTTATACATGGTGCAAATCCAGTATCCCCAACTGGGGCAGAAATCCAAATACAAGTCCATTCCCTTGTTCTTTTAAGTAACCCCAGTACAACACACAGGTGCTTTGAAAAACTCAAGAAAACGGCATTCAAAGAGAAGTTCATTTCTGTGCCAAAACTGTTGAAAGCCATGTCTACTTTGTTTTTTTTCATTTTAATAGTTATTTCCTCTTTCTGAAGACTTTGTATACAACTTTTTTCAAAGGTTTATGCTTTATTTATTTGCATGGCAGAGCTACAGGGTAAGGACAGACCACTGGTACACTCCCCAAATGGTCGCACCACCCGAGGCTGGGCCAGGCCTACACCAGGAACCTACAGCTTCCTTTAGGGCTCCCCTATGGGTGCAAAGGACTGCAGCTGGATTGCAACCAAAGTAGCTAGGACCTCAACTGGCACCCATATGGGATTCTGGCACTGCAAGCAGAGACCTAGCTCACTACACCATGGAGCCAGAGTCATGTCTTTTTGTACAGCTTTTTAAAAATCTGCATTTATTTATTAACTTTTATTGGAAAGTCAGATATACATAAAGGAGGAAAGACAGGAAGATCTTCCATCTGCTGATGTACTCCCCAAGTGGTCGCACTGGCTAGAGCTGAGCTGATCCAAAGCCAGGAGCCAGGAGCTCTTCCAGATCTCCCAAGCAGGTGCAGAGTCCCAAGGGCCATCCTCAACTGTTTTCCCAGGTCACAAGCAGGGAGATGGATGGGAAGCGGGGTTGCCAGGATTAGAACCGGTGCCAAGATGGAATACTGGCATGTGCAAGGCTAGGACTTTAGCCTCTAGGCTACTGTGCCATGTCTCTTTTTGTACATCTTCCTGTTCTTGTGTTAACTCCTTCCTGTACCTGTTTCCCTCGTGAAGTCCTCATGCTACCCTCTACAAGGCTCGTGGAGTCTTTTGACATCCTGCCTGGCGTTGGCCATGCCACACGGTGAGGAGAGGAGGGAAGCATCCCTCTGACCAATGGTCAGCCCTGGACCTGCTTTGGGGGATGGGAGGGGAAGGGAGGAAGAAGGCAAGAACAGACACATGGCTGGGATTTTTCTTTTTCCCTGACATTGAAACTTGATCAAAGTAAAAAACAGTCTAGAAATAAAACTGCGTAGCCAGCAGGACATAGTGTGCAAGTGCCAGAGGTTATGATTCTTGAGGGGCTTTTCCATTCATGCTTGATTTATCATTTTCATAAATGAAGTGCTCATAAAGTATCTCTCCAAAACTCACTTTTGTTTTTGAGCTTGTTAAAATGATTCCTTGCATTCTGGCATAACTGGGAGGTAGATGCTCCTCTCTGGACTCTAACAGCTTATTTCTTCTGCGTTCTTAATATTGACACAGTGGGCTCAGCCTGAGAGTGAAGTGCTGGGCATCGGCACGTCACGGTGCATCATGGGCTATGTCTGTGCCTCCCTCCACTCCTGAGACCCAGAGACGATGCAGGAAAGTGCTAGCCCCTCTCCCTGACCCTTCTCCTGGATGCAGCAAGCCTTGCTCAGGGTGAAGCCAGTGGATGGAACAACCACCGCTAGGCCAGCTGCTGCAGGAGTGCCAGGCCAGCCTGCCCATGCCTCAGAAAAGGCTGCAACCTAGTCACTAGTGAGTCGAGCATGCAAGTACAGCAGGGCAGGATGGGCCTCCTGGAGGTACCAGTCAGGCTGCCCACCTAGGTGCGTTCAGCTGCTTTCTGACCTTTGTACACATAACTGGAACCCACATGATAGAGTGGTGCTTTTCACCGGGACACTCCAGTGAGTCATGCCTGTGGCTGTGACAAATCCTCACTGGTCCCCTTGTGCACAGGGACCTACTGCCCCAGCTCACAGCCATGTGGAGACATACCTTAGCCTGTCCTGTGGCCACAGGTGGATGACGGGTGAGTGGGACACGCATTTACTGAACACGTGTCCTGTTTTTGCCAGCTGTGATGGTTTTCTGAACT